TATATATATATATATATATATATATATATATATATATATATATATATATATATATATGTTGTATCATTGACGCGTTGACAGTCATGTCTTGCCATTAAAGGCTAATTACGACGTATTATTATTCTATTTTTACAATATGTTTCTTCTTTCCAATTGTACACACGTGTGCGATCACACGCTAGGTTTCGTACACTCTATAAAAAAGCCATTCTTGGTGAACATATCGTGGACGTGTTCTATATGCGTACAATGAAGATTGTCGCCAACACTCTGACCGATCAGAATTCACAATGACGCAACAATTTTCAATTGTCTTATGTATGAATGAGATACGATTACGTATATATATATATATACGTTTCAAAGCGGATAAATCTTATTTCCATCCAATTGGAATACTGTATATTGAATATTAACATATACGCTAAATAAATATCTTTTATCCTGTCTTTTTATACGTAGAGTGTACGAACTTGACCTATCGTATTGTAAATCATCAATTGACTGTTTATTCGGATGTTTATTCGAACATAGTTATTATTTCCACAGACAAGACAGCCAACGCGACCAATATATTCAAAGTGCAAAGTAAAGATCGAACCTCTCGAAGGATACTAATCGTATTTAAGAGAAGAAATCGTAATCGACTAGGAGAGAAACATCGACACAAGATGGAGTACGCAATAAAGCGATCGAACGATCGATCATCGCTCTTCTCGACAACCTTTTTTTTTTTCCGCCTATTATCCTTCGTCTCGTAATTCTATCGTTTACACGCGTCTAATTTTACTACACCTTTATTTTACACACTCCCATTAATGCTATGTACAGGAAATATGCTCGTTTGAATCACTCTGCCTTTGTTTTTCAAGCGAAAAAACAAAGTCGCTCTTGAGCTCGATTCGAAAAGATGATGATTTTGACACGAAACGAGTGTTACGAGTATAATAAATCCATCGAAAGAATTCCTAGATTCTAGAACCTAGAACGAACGTCGCACGAGTGCGACGAGTAAAATGGCGATCAAAATTAACCATTGTCGGTTCTGATCTGTCGTAATTTCCTTTCCAATGGACAAATTATTCTTGATGGATCGAATGATAAGTGTTAATGAATATGATATCTCTTCCTATAACGATAAATTAATATTAAAATTTCAAAGATTTATTTGAGCAATGTCGATCTCTGATTAAATTGTGAAAGCGAAGGAACTTGAATATCTCATTCATATATAACTATAAATAGATTTCGATTAACGTGCGATTACGATGTGTAAAATGATGACGCGAGCGTTTAATGAAAACCAAAATTTTAGCTTAAGATCATAAACATATAGCCCTAAGTTCAACTAACGAACAATGTTACTTGTGACAATTATCTAAAAATTTTGATCGCTGATTCAATTGGAAACTTAGAATTTGAAATATCGAGTATTTGTTCAAGCGATTGATTTGGCGAGGAAAAAGCATTTGGGAATCGAAACGTTTGACGAAACATTCTTCGCAATTACTTCGATCGCCTCTTTTGCAACAACAAGCGTGATCACGTTCGAAAGTGATCGATTGCGTAATATCTTTAGAAATACGAGTGAATGAAACTTACGAGCGATAGAATACCGAGTGATAGATATCGTTTAATCGTGCGAGGAAAATATCGTTAAATTACAGTGTGTGTGTGTGCGCGCGCGCGCGCGTGCGTGCGCGTGTGTGCAGAGAGAAAAAGACTCGAAATATTTGATTCTGTGATTTTCAGTTTTCAGCATATAGCAAATATACAAGGATTCTAGAAAAGATAAGAACGCTTTCACCGGAATCAGTTCACGAATTGATCCAATTTCTAATTTAATTTCAAAGTATTTTTTGGTATAGAAAGGTATATAGGAGCGATTGTAATTTCCCTTTCCGTTTCCAGAAAATAATTACATCTCTATTAAATGTTAAAAGGAAGACAACAAACATAGAAAAGTATTATAGTATATATATATATATATCACTTTTGTATACGTATACATAATTGTTATTATTAATTACTATTGCGTGTGTATTATTATTATTATTATTACAAAATATTGCAAATTTCAAAAAGTAAGGAACGGATGTTGAAAATCATTCATTTTGATATGTAATTTAACAAAATTCTAGCACAACTAACTCATCATTGAATATTTACATTGCAATTATTAACCCTTTCGCTATATACATTAAAAATGTCAAATAATAACCATTTGCAATAATATCTGCGGATATCGTACAGATAGTTGTACACACCGAAAGTAAAATTTTTTGAGAAAATAAGTTTTACCAAATTATCATTTTATTGACAAATCGTACGCTTAATAATTAACAAAAAAAAAAAAAAAAGAAACAAAGTTTACAACTACTTTTTTATGTTCAGCTTTCGATTAATTATAAATATAAAGATCTGAAAAAAAAAAACAACAACCACGCATATATTTCTTTTGGAACAAAAATTGCCCTCGGCGAAAGGATTAACAGAAGCGAGAAATTCCTAGATATTGCCATCTAAGCTTGTTTTTTTTTCTTTTTTCTTTTTTTTTTTTTTTTACGTATTAAAATTATCGATTAACAGAGGTGTGGCACACCGTTGACGGAAATAATGTCGCGGATATTATAATTTCGGAGCCTTCGCATAATTAACACGAGGAGGGAGGATGCTAACGAGACGTTTCACGTTTTTCTCGCGTGAAACCTCTAAGCTGGGTTTCATCTCGCAAATTGATGCGATTTGAGATAAGCGCCACGTTAATGACATCGCGTTTTCGCGCGCTTAATCAGCGCGATTTCGCCGAGACGTGCACGTATATTTCCTGGGAAATTGTATGCTAAAGTGAAAAATGCACGAGCACCTGTTTCCTCCCGTGAAAGTAATTGAAGACAGGAAAAATGTGAAAGTTAAGTGGGATAATGATACTTATAGGGTTGAACGATAAAAGCGTTGAATAATTTTTGGATCGTGTGATTGTATTTGATCAATTTGATCAATAGAAATTCCAGTTTGATTGAAAGAGGAGAATTGAAAAAAGATTGTCTTTCTAATTTACATTTTTGTTATTAGATTAAATAATTTTTTTTAATCTATTTCAACAAGCATGCTCAAAAATTGCTTCATCTCTTTTACATCACCCGGTATATATCAATGTAATCGTACGTCGAATCGAAAAAAAAGGACGAAATTTAATTTGAACGTCTTACATTCTATATTGTTATATTTTATGAGAAGAGTTCATTTGTATTGCACCACCCTATATATATATACTGTTCGAAGTTCAGAGACACAAGATGCAAATGCAAATTTTGTGGAAATTTCTCCTTTCGAATCTCGCTATTATAAATCCAGAAACATGTTCAAATCTTTCTCGATACTGTTTCGCGCTAAAAATATGTATAGTTTTTTTTAAAATACTACGAATCAAAATTCTCTTCAAACTTTTCAAGAAATTACTATTGAGAAAATAATTGAATCAGACAAGTGTTATATTTACGAGTAGATAAGTAAGATAAAGGGCAAACTTTTATTAGTATATTTACAAAACATCGATGAGTATTAGATTACATCATTTGTTTTGCTATCGAGAATAACTGACTAGGTATGTACACGCTCTCTTAATATTTATATTGCATCATTTTTATTGCTAATCCGTCTGATGGAACCATTCTCGAATCGAATATTCAAACAATTTTAACTTTTATTTTTTTAACAATAAATAAATATCGAGTGTTACAACACAAACTCGACAATTTAACAACTTGTTACTCACATCTAAGAACTTCGAACGTGAAATGCATAAATCACAAGAACCCAACCCATATATAAACCCTTAAGGATCCCAAGATTCGTAGGTTATACAACGGAAACGAACATCAGAGACAAAAATCCACAAGAAATAATCAATATGTCACTTTAATCACACATAATCGTCTAATGTACAATTAGGAAAAATTTCATCGACTGCCTCTTTGGTATCGTTGATTCGTTGAACTGATTCACGGTGATCGCTATAGCGTGCTCTAATTTTACCATACATCTATGTACACGTACATCTGATACCTGTATTAATTCGATCTAAATAATCGACACGACGAATAACGTGATCGTCGTACCTCGTCATTTTTAGGAGAAAGAGTGTCTATCTAAAAATTCCTCTCTCGACCACTGTGCAACTAATATTTTTCTTTCTTCTCTCCATTGAATACTAGTTTACGAGTATATTACTCATACGTCTCTTTCTTCTTTTTAATCATTTGTATTTTTTTTCTTCTCCCGTATTATTTTTTTTTTTTTTTTCCTTCTTGTTTTATCATCTCTTGGTCCGTGAATGAGTTTTTTCGCGCGATTGGCATGTACGAGTCCTATAAAACTCATTGCCAATACCATCCGATCTATATATAATCGTATAAGTGTATTACGCAGCTAACGTTTACTCATTTTTAGAGTTATACTACTGTTTTATTTTTTTATATTTATATATATAAAGAAATAAATTATTTCGTGCGAATTATCTATTGCGCTCGTGTTCAGAACGGAACGAAATATATATATATATTCCCCTTTGAACACGTGTGGATAATTTACAATATAGCAAAAAACAAGATAGCTACCAAGTGTTCGATGTAATGTTATGTACACTCTTATGCGCATGTGCACGCTCGTCGGATTTTTTCTGACTTTATTTCTTGACACGATCTAACCTCTAAATCGCGAAATTAGATCGATGTTATGTGTTTATTGAATATATAAATGGGGCTTCATTGTTGGCACTTAAAAAATTGCATCATATGCAAAATGTATTGTTCACTGATGGACGAAATGATTGTTCGAATCGCGAGTCGAATGATGAAGAAAATCTTTTAGCGAAAAATCTGAGTGAAGTATGAAGTGATTCGTATAAAGTAAAACAAGCAATGAATTAATGTTTTTCGTTGGTTATTATGTTAATTATTTATGTTATGTTATGTAAATGTATATAATAAAATGTTTTAGAACACTTGTCATTGGCAAATACGATATCGAACGTTTGAGCATGCATAGTGAAGTACGACTACTTGTGTATGCAAAATTTTACAAGAGCCACTTTAGTTTCTTTATATTATAGATTAAAAAGAAAAAATTCCATGTAAAATATCTTAAAATATAATTCTCTATATTACTTTACACGAACCACTCTACGCAATTTGTATAGAATAAAAAGCAAGAAAAAATCTTACGAAAGTATAAATCTACGAAAGGACATTTTAATACGCTTTTCTTCAAATATATATCTTTCTCAAAATGTTCGAAATACGTAGTAGTACGTTTCATAACCATAAACGTCGAAACTTGGTCGAAAAAAGACACACACTATCGACTACAAACTACGCAGCATCAAAATTTTGTCACAACTATATTCTAGTACGTAGTACTACGTTTTCAAATTTTACTACTAATTTATCGTAATTTATTTGATACTACGCAATACACCATCGTTAATAATCCTCGTTACCAATCAATATCGAATCTTTTAATATCTTTTTCTCTTTTCCGATATATTATACGTATACTTTTTCCCCAGACACATAACCAAATAGATCAATCTTCTATGGAACTCACTTTTCATTTTAGTCGAACACGCTTTTCGAAAACCCAATGCCATTACGAAACATCAAAGCCAACACGAATAACCCCTTTAATCGATTCTATATCGATCCGAACACTTCTCGATTCTTTCCGCCATTCTCTCGAATTTATCGACACACATCGAGGAAGCATGCTCTACTTTGAATTTCTACAATCCTACATAGCTGCACTATAATTCGCAAATACGAACTCACGAAGTATGGATTATATACGACGAACCATATTTCAAAATGACTGTATCATATCGTTCACGAATTTCGTCTCTGCCGCAACATTTTAACACTTAATTTTATATATACGTATGAATAGCGCTATCTATAATTTTAAATGTGATAAATACAAAGTGTGCGTACTTGGTAATGGTGGTGTGTTATTTGGCAGTTTCTCATGTTCCACTCGTCCTAATATCTCTCACTCCTGTATCACTTTCGAAATGGATTCTTCATTCCATCTTCCCCCTGCTTTCCACGTTAATATCGAGATTAATATCGCCTTCTTTATATACAATGCAATCTTTGGTTTCACTACGAAATCTACGCGTTGTGTACACTCCAGGACGCCATTGCTCAACCGACATCTTGACGAGTTTCTTGAGCTCGCGCATGTTATTTTCCCCATTTTTCGAAACGGTTCGTGATTGGCGAATACATGCTCTCATTTATTACTATGATTCAACAACTACATACAAGGTCTTTTAGGCCTGCTCCATAACAAAGTTACCAGAAAAAAAAATACTATATGTTTAGTTAGTAATAATATTCTATTATGACACATTTTGTCAATTCAGAATGAACCCTAATATTTAAGCCTCGAACCGATCAGCTACGCCATAGAATTATTTTTAATATTCATTTTTTAATATCGTCACGTTAAAAATCAACTTATATTGAAGACAAAATCTTTCTCTTCGAAGATTCCCATCGAGTACTTAAATATATAAATAGATAAATATTTGGTACTGTTTCATAGTATAATATTCGTTTTCTAATCGCGAGGTTCGTCAAATTAGCATATGATAAATACACATTAATTTAAAGTTTTTCTGTCCGATCCTTTTTTTTCTTTTTCGTTTTTTTTTATTTTACAATAATCAATACGTGCAATTTTTGTGTACATATGTATGTCTATGTACATGTAATATACATAAATGCCGAACATGTGAAAAATATAAAACGAAATAAGGACCATCAGTCTTGGGAGATAAAGATGTCGAAAAAACAGTAACGAATCGAACGAGGGATGATAATATTATGGAAAAACGAATCGATCGTGGTATTAAGCCATCCACGGTTCAAAGAAAAATGATTCAGCCTCTAAATCTCATCAGTCAATTCATTTTTTTTTTTTTTTTTTTAATTGATTGCACGCGATCAAAATTGAGCATTCGCAAATTTATCAACTCACCTGTATATTCTTTTATGGGAATGTTCGTATGTATATAAGTGCCATTTTAAATGCAATATTAAATTATAAATGTATATGCAATGGGAAACTTGAATCTTTCGAAAAAAATCGTGTTATTTTGTTAATTCTTTTTTTTTTTTTTGTTTTTTTTAAATTATTTTAAAATTACTTTAGGCGAGACGTCAATGTGATGTTAGTCACGCTCTTTCTTATCGACAAAACATCGAATCTTATTTCATAAAGAGTCATTTTCATCAAATAATACTGTTTACAATAATCATGGTTCGTCCAACGAGATATAGTGAAACGGGAATTTTCAAACTTCGTTGTTTTTCTATTTTATTATTATTAATATCTTTTCTTTTTCATTTTCTCGTTGCACAAACATGAATATAATATGTAAAGAATGAGCATATAATTGTCTTTTGTCGATTTATTAATGCCCTCGATGTAGAAAATCACAGTGTCATAGCTGATCAAGAATTTGGCAAAATGATTGGATTTGTCTTTCACTTACCTGAGTCGTTATCAAACCTGTACCATTTATTTCAAAATGAAATAACCATTCAATCTGTCACAATTATGTCTGTTTAGAATAGTACTACAAAATTTCAAGAGATAAAAACCACAAATGCTTTGCGCGATCCCCTATTTCGCGTGTATTATTCAATTCGACTTCTCATCCCAACATTAAAATCTCAACTAGATTTTATAATATTATTTTATAAAAAATTCGACTGATGTTCTGATACGAAGATCAATTTGCACGATTGGATATATACTTTTTTTAACCTCACAATTACGAATTTCCAAACTTTTCTCCGAAAAACAGTTGTTTCACGATATTTTCAACATTGCACTAATATTTCAAATAGTACACTTGTCAAACAAGCACTTGTCAGATTTCCTTCAATATTCATATCAATATCATAATCTCTAAAAGTTCACAAAGAAAAAGCAAGAGCCTTGCCTAATCGCGCGAGTTTGTCAACGATCAAAGCAAAGATCGTCGAAGCGTTTTCGAAACCTAACTTCTCAAACAAACGACAATGAAGATCCAAAAAACAATGGATCATAGATTTTTTACAATTCTTCAGACAGAGCGATGGGTGCTCTAGAGCCGGGTTTCATATCCTTCACACCGATTCCGATGTCATCAACTGGTGCTGGAGCCAACTTCAATTGGTTGCCGTTCACTTTAATATCATTCACCGAATGGGACCTACCATGCGTAATAAGCGGTTTCGCTGTCTGATTAGTGCTTGTATTCGAATTTGAGCTGCTCACAGAATTCGTACTAGGACTAGTCGCGGAGTTCGAACTCGAACTACAGTTCACAGTACCGCTTGAAAGGGAACTCGAGTTAGAATTTGCATCTTGCGTTTGATTGGTCGCCGTGGATTGCATTACAGGATTAGGAATGGACGATTTGGAACGAGGTTTCGGCTTTGGGTTCATCGAGTTCACGTTAAGAATAGGGGTTGCAGATTGATCAAGTATTTCACGACCAGTATCGAGCGCGGAATCTGGCGAAATTGGTATCTTAGTGGATACAGTTGATTTTGAAAATGTTGTGAGTTGGTTAGCCGATTGCGATCGTACTGTATGATTGCCAAGTTTGTCCCGCAACGCCATCTGATAAGCTACTTCAAACGCCTGGCCTAAGGTTAGGATCACCTCCGTTGCTTGGTCCTGAAACAGATATGTCTCGCTTCGTAGATTTATTGTGAAGGTAATTAAAATTTGGATGAAATTGACAATAATACATTTTGATTATTAATAAAGAAGAAGTGTAAATGATTGAATTATTAATAATATTAATAGATTTAACGTACTTGTTATTGGAATTATTATGAAGCTATTTCTAATTGAGTTGATAAAATTAAAACATCAAGAAATATGTAATACAGTAAAATTTTATTTACTGGAACGAAATTTCAGTTAATATCCGATTAAATAATTTCCCGTTGATTGAACATATTTATCTGAATGGGAAATCGTGGGTTGTAAAGAGAATTAATAAACTGTTGTGTGTTACGTGTGTATGCATGTAAGTATTCCATTTGAATTGCTTATTCTCCATTCGGATCAGTTATATAATAATAACAATTCTAAATTCTGTTTCAAAAAAATTTCATATAGATAGATTTCAACATTGTGATATTGAAAATAAAAGAATGAAAATGAACTTACCATTGTTGGTACGCAAAATACATGGCAGAAATGCGTACGGCTGGCGTGGTCCTTGGTAATATATGCGAAATGCGTGAGATCGTCGGCATCCTGACAGGCGCAGTGAATGTTGCGAATTTCGTGCTCGCAAATCGGCTCCTATATCGATTTCCATCATTCCAAATACAAATGTATATAGGCACAGTAATCGTATTATGGTTCAACGTTAATCCTTTCGAACGTGATACAAATTCCATAAATGCAGGACATTGTTCTCCTTATTTATATCGTTATATTATTGATTCGAAGCAATTTTGTGATAAATTCAATTAATTTTATCACAAAAACTTTCAAATCATATACGAACAAATATAAGATAATACTTATATAAAAATAAGTAAAAAATATAGTTCAATTAAAACTATATTTTTATTTTTAACTATTTATAAAGATATTATATTAAAATTAATCATAATTACACAAAGGATTAACGTTGTTATTTAAAATTTTTTGCCACGTATTCCACGATATTATTTAAATATATCTTGTAAAAATTGTCTTACATTAGTCACTGTGTTGAGGAATCGAACGCCACGATAAGAAATCGCCAAAGTGATGTCAGGGGTGACTCTAGGTTCGCGGCAAGTTTTCTTCAGCTTTTGTATCGATTTCTTTGTCGACTCAGTACCGCGTAACTCCTTCACCACAGTGGAACCCAGATACTACGCGATTTTTGAACAGAAAAAAAACCGTGCCTCTAGAATCTACAAGGTATTTAAACGCTAAGCTTTTTTAAAAATACGATTATAAATCTATCAGTATTAGTAATGAATCGCGTATAAATTATTTATAAAATATGTACATTAGTTCTAACTTAATAACTATAATAAGAATTGGCTTAAGCATTATTAAATTGTTGTATGATATTTGCAGAATTATGTATCAAAGAAAACAAGCGATCATCAAGTTGAACAATATGAACTTCCAAATGAAGAAAGCGTTAAATGCTCGTTTATTGCGCTAGAGGTTACACCAAAGAAGATAATATTCTGAATGAAATGTGTTATTAGCTACACCCACGCTATAATTATGGTAATAGCCTTCACCTTGAAGCGTTGTCATGATTATCTGGCTGACATCACACACCGCACTCGTTATTCAAGAACCATACAATGTGTTAGAACGACAGAATTACGGAATACAATTTCTATTTCTACAATGAAATAGAAATCTCGTTTTTATAGCAACTATAATTCCTTTTTATACAATGTTATAAGAAACTCGATTACCACCGATTTTTTTGATGTAACCATCTCGCGACGCAGTAACATAAATCCCAAAGTATATTCATAGTACGATATTAAAGTTACACATGAAATGGCAAATTTCATATGTGCATAAAATCATTCAAAATATTCCTTATGGACAAAACAGTAAAGTTCAACAAAGATGAAGAATTTTATATTAGCATAAAATATCAATTATATTGATTAATTTTGATTATTAATCTTATACTAATAATTTTGCTACATACATCACTATATGAAAATGTGAACATTCGTTATTTCATCATCATTATAGTGGAAAAACATAAAATAAAAGTTATATTTCTCGAAAGAAAGTTAAATTAAAAACAATTTTATTAAACTTTTTCAGAATTATATTAAAAGAAGGATTTTATTAAGAAGAAATTTATTAAAAATCTATGAAACATCGAGTAAAGCTTCAATTTCTTCAATTACACTCTTTCGCTGAAAATATAAGAAGTTACCGGCATAAGAGCTATCAAGAATTCGGCCATTTCATCTACGACGATCTATATAAATTATCCTTAATAACCAAATAATAGAATCCATTCACTACATAAAGCAGTTAAAAAGATTTGGCTGCCTGGAAGGAATAGTTCCTTGTTCAGGAAGGAAGACACGGCAAAAGACATGTAAAATAGCAAGAAAGGAGATAGAAGGGATGGAAGAACGGAAGCAATTAGACTTACGTTGGCGACGTACGTGACGCAGCCGGTGACTAGAGCTTTTGGCTGGTGCCTCCATTGCGTCTTGAGGGTGGACGGGACACCGAGGAGCAGCTCTGACGGTGCCCTGATCTCGAGTTGTTCCGGTGCCGAGATCGCCCCATTATGCGAACTGGGTCGTTGGGGTGGCTGCGGAGCCGGCCTGTTTTTGCGATGCCTTAATGTGCTCGTGCCGGTCGAATTCGTTCCGGTTATCGACGTACCGCCATTACCCTCCGTCGTTGTTTCCGGCAGCTTCTCCCGTATCTCCTCCTTCAGCTGCTGTATGTTCGACTTCTGCGGAAACCAGCCACCGCCGAATTTTTGAGTAATAGCGAGTAGAGATTTTAACAAAAAAAAAAAAAAAGAAAAAAAATACACGTAGCTTCTTCTCATTCTTTTCTTTGTATTAAATACGTTTGTAATAGTAAAATATATGTAGGTCTCATTGTAAACAGATATTTTCATTTCTAATTTTCAATTGTCA